TGTGTGTGTGTGTGTGTGTGTGTGTGTGTGAGAGAGAGAGAGAGAGCGAGAGAGGGAGAGAGAGAAAGTGCGCGATGTCGGGCCGAACCCCGGTAGACTTTCGAGCCTTCGTCGACCCCCGGCGGGGCCCATTTGGCTCGACCCGCCCACGCTCAAGCTCAGGGCGCGGGTCATTCGTCCCAGGGTCACCCCCACCTAGTGCTTTGGTATAGATGAGGAGGGGCGAATAGGGCGAGAGAGCTTGACATTGGGGATATAACTCATCCCTTGCATTAGGTGGTGGCCTCGCTGGTCAACTGTCGCAAGTGTAGATTCTTGATTGCACGTTGTGTTCGCAAGCAATTGCTCCTTCCAATACTCAGGCAGTCCAGGGGGTTCATTAGGGATTTCTCTTCTTTTCGTGCGTAGGGCTAAGCGTTATCCTTAGGCCACGCACCATTTCCCTAACGTCACTACAGACTTCCGGCATCATCGGGCGCGACCATGTCGTCCTTCCCTTAAGCCGCTACCATTTTCTTTGTCTAGCCCACGCATTCCATTCACGATACCATTGTGGCCCTTAGTCTTTTCGGGCATTCATTTTGCACGCAACAACCAAGGCACACTCATACCATACAAAGCCATGCCCCTCTCTTCCCTTCCCTTTGCTTCCCTTTGGCCCTCCTCTAGCTTGCTTATCCTCATCCCAATCCCGCTCAAGTCATTCTGAGCTACGCACCTGCACAATTCCCACACAAGCAAGGAACAATATTCATCCCCCCATTGGGGTCAACGCATCGACTTTGCTGCAAGCCTAAGTCCTTTCCTCTTCCATGGTTCTTTCACCCTATTCCTCTATTCCCAGAGTCAAGTCATGCTCTTCCCTTAGTCATGCAGTCGGGGAATTGGTTGAGTCAACTGACCTTGTCAAATTTTTGCTTGCTCCGCTCTTTTCAAAATATCACAAGTCCTTCCCTTCCTTCTTTTCTTTTCCCTTCTTGGTGGCGCAAGGGAACGGCTAAGGGTTGCTTCCCTCTTATCGTTCGTCCCCTGGCAATATGACAAGTGAGGAGGGGGTTAGTCATGTACCAAGGTGGGGGAGAAGGGAGGGAAAGGGTGGAGTTCTCTCGGGGTAAGGGCGAGGGAACGCCGACGGAAGGGAGGGGAGAGGAAGAAGGTGTTAAGAGAGAGAGAGAGAGAGAGAGAGAGAGAGAGAGAGAGAGAGAGAGAGAGAGAGAGAGAGAGAGAGAGAGAGAGAGAGAGAGAG